TCGGAGAAATAAGATTCTTGTACATTTTTGTCTTTATTCAGAAATCTTTCCTTCTTGTGATAGATTGCCCAGAACCTGGAAAAAGAACAACAGAAGCGTGAAGAACTAGAACAAATCCTCCAAGAGCTGTATCTGGAAGAACAAGCGGAGGCGGAAAGGAAGAAGGAGATGGTAAGTGCTGGCAGGTAGGTGAAGCAGAACCTGTGCAGTGGGGAGGAAGGGGAATATTTCACTTTTACTGGGCTTCTGCAGATACACAGATATTGTCGTGCTTGTCAGATACCAGGTTTTTTAATATGCTGTATGTATGTTAATGTGTACCTGTGCATAAACTGTTAACAGAAAATGCAAGTGGAGAGCGGATTATTGCAGCTTTGCTGTAATTCCTTCAGAACATTCAGGCTAATGGAACTGGTCTGGATGAAACTTCTATAAAATGAAGATAGTGGCTATGCAGGAAAACATGTAGTTTATGGAACTCTTGTAGCTATGGGCAGACAAGTCTAAACAGACCAGATACAAAATGTAAAGAGAAAATGAAAACTTTGAATCGCTGATCTAGAAGATATTTAATAAAGTGAATGCAAGGGCAGTATTTTACATCCCTTTGCTTCTTCTGACATCTTTGTGATGGAGCAGCCCTCCTTCAGCTTTTGCACATGTCATTGGAGTTGTGATGCTTTACGAACATTGAGTAAGAGTTTCCCGAAGTACGTTCAGTAGCAGAGCCTTTGATTACATTTCATTTACAGGCAGAAACAGAAAAGAGACTAAGGCAGCGCCTAGACTTACGGCAAGCATACGAAGAGCAGTTGGCTCTGAAGGCAGCTGTGCGACAAGCTATGCAAGAAGAGGAACAAGCCTTCAGACAACAGATGTTGGCCAAGTTGGCAGAGGATGATCGCCTTGACCAGCTGAATGCTCAGAAACGAAGAATGAAACAGCTTGAACACGGAAGGGCTGTGGAAAAACTGATTCAAGACCGTCGCCAACAGTTTGTTGCAGATAAAGTAAGAGTTTTCATGTTCGCCTTAGGTTGGAGCCAAAGGGTTTCAATGAGGACACTCCTGCTATCTGAAGCGACAAGGCTGTTGTTACTAGGGAAAGGTGACAGGGGACTTGCAGAGAAATGTGCAGGGGAAGCAGGCTTTTGTTTTGGTTTGCTGACAAGTGCAAAAAGGCTTCTTCAAGCTAACATTTTCTTGTAGCTCAAGTCAACAACATCCCTAAAGCCCTGAATACTTGACATGCTCTGCAAATCCCTCCTCAGGAGCCATGGGGTCAGCGGCACAACTACTACAGTACTAATACTGTACTACACTGATAATGATGCATGAAAAGGGGCAGTCCCAGCCTTGGCTTTAGGTTAAGTCTCTTGAATTATCATCTGAGGAGGAAAAGCATAAATTGAAAACAAGTCACAGAATCCTCTGCTGTGGTTTTTGCACCCATTTGTAGGGTATAAGCCCCATGTGCAGTGTGAATTGCGATTTCTACTTAATCAGCATGAGACTGCGTGCCTGTTTCTCCTTTTCTTGGATTAGCACAGAAGGGCAGGAACAGCCTAACTTGTCTGAGAGCCAGGAAGGAACCAAAATTTAACTACCTCGAAAAGGGCTTCCAGTATTGAGACTCCATGCTTACCCAGCAGACCAGCCCTGTGTCTTGCCATGCAGTCTTCTCTTTTCTCTGACATTTTTTTCTCATTACCAAATCCATATTGTTTAAACAGTGCTTTGGGGTTTTTTACATAAACTTTTCCACCCTTTCCAAATTAATTTCCCATGACCAGGAGTTAGTAAGTGGAAGTTCAGAATTTACTCCACTAAAAAACTTTTCTCTTTATACTGTGGTGGATATGGGTGGAAGCAAATGTTCAGAGAGCTGAAACTGCACTGTTACGACAACTTCTTTACTGTAGGAGCGGGAACTTGAAGAAAGACAGCTGGAGGCGAAGAGAGAAGAGAAGTTCCAGGCAATTGTTGAAGAAGAGAGACAGAAACTCTTGAAGGAGCATGCATCTAAATTACTGGGTTATCTTCCTCCAGTAAGTGAATTGTATTTTTGGTGCTTTAAATGTTTGCCCTGTTTAAGGTGAAGCTGCAGAGCTGTGAATTCGTGGAGTCGGTGGGTGTCCTTTATTGTGTCAGCTCTCCTGAGTTCACCCTTTCCTTTTTCTTTTCTCTTTTCTTTTCTTTTCTTTTCTTTTCTTTTCTTTTCTTTTTTCTTTTCTTTTCTTTTTTCTTTTCTCTCCTCTCCTCTCCTCTCCTCTCCTCTCCTCTCCTCTCCTCTCCTCTCCTCTCCTCTCCTCTCCTCTCCTCTCCTCTCCTCTCCTCTCCTCTCCTCTCCTCTCCTCTCCTCTCCTCTCCTCTCCTCTCCTCTCCTCTCCTCTCCTCTCCTCTCCTCTCCTCTCCTCTCCTCTCCTCTCCTCTCCTCTCCTCTTTTTTCGAAGCAATTTACCAAACTACTCTTTCTGTACGAGGGGCTTTGGGCTCTACCGCAATGCGGATGCCTTGTACAGAGCTTGCTGAAAGCTCCTACAGTGTTTTGCATGTCCAGTTTTTGGAGTACGGCATGTAAGTTCTAGAGCAGGGCTCTGCTAGCTGGAAAGGGGTCTGCTGTATCTTAAACCCCATTTCCACCATGCTTCTCAGTTGAGGTCTGGGGAGCAAATTCTTATATTGTTGGCTTATCCTCTGAGTCTTCTGCTCCCAAAGGAACAAGGCATGGACTCTGCTGTGTTTCAAAGCTCACTGCATCCATCCATCCATGCGTTTGTTAGAGTTAAAAAGATGGAAGCAGTCACTGTAATAGGAGCTACAATTTATTTTGTATTAAACTTCATAATGGGAAGGATCACCTGGTGGGACACAAATGAACAAGGAGCTGCTGTAGGGATCTGGAAATGCATTTACATTTCTTACTCTTTAAAGAAATTCTTCAATACTGGAAAGCATTGTAAATGTAGTGGAGTGTAATTTTTATTCAAATATTAATACACTGATTTGGTCATGAATTTGTAAAATTCGAAGTGAATTATTTTCTAATGTAGATTTAGTAAAAGAGAACCCTAATTGACAATATTCTGGTATAGTTTTCTGGTTTGAATTTGTTGCCGTAGGAAGTCTTGGTGATGTCAGTGTCCAGGGCTCATGCCTGCTCCATGATATTGATGTTCTGCTTTGTTCTTTCCTCTGCTTCGACACTGTGCCTGTAGTGCTACATCATGTTACTTCGCTCAAAATGGTTAAATAGAAAAGTGCTAATTCTAAAGTCTCCAATATAAATGCAATTTGTAGTTTATTTTTTTCCTTAAGTGCTGCCTTAAGGGTGTTCTGTTTAGCCCTAAAATGAATTTAGAATTAGAAATCCCTATTTCCAGGTTCCCTTGCTCCCCTTCCCCAAAACATAGTTTCTGATGAAGTTGTTCAGCATCAGTTGTTCTTCAGAATGATGTCTTTCTACAGGCTAGTTCAGTACAACTAAAGGTGGAGACAGAGCCTTGCCCCAACCAGAGCCTCTCCTCTTGATTTCACTGTGCCGACTATGAACGCCTCTATAAGAGAATGCAGATGAATGTTGTCTTTTGCGCATTGCTCATGCTGGAATCTGTAAGCAGTTCTTGCCATCATTTGTGTGAAGAACAAAAGAGGCAGTTCTAGGTCAGCACCCAGCACACCCGTTTGAATTTAAACTTATCCGTGAAGTTTTGTGACAGTTCTCAGGGCTCTTTGTTTCAAAGGTGATCCCAGAACCAGGATACAAGCTACGGCACTCTCTTCCCTAGAAAATTTCAGATATCTCTCCGTGTTTTACCTTCCAACGTGTGTTTCTTTCCCCTTACTGCAGGGAATACTCAGAGATGAAGGTGACATCAGTATGCTTGGAGAGGATTTTAGACTGGCATATCAGAAAAGAAAAGGCAATGCACTTCCACAAGAGAGCTGAAACTTACCCCATCTCATCTCCGGGTTTGCCACTAGGTGTCACCGGATTTCTAATGAAAAATTCCATTTGCCGTTAACATTGAGGAACTCCTTTTTAACATCATAACAAGTCTCCATTTTAAGACTGGAGCTCTAAACTGACGAGCATTTAGCTCTGCATTTTCCATCAATAAACTGTTACAGAGTGCTCAATCAGTCTTAGTGCTGTAGCAATACTAAAAACGTTTTCTCCAGCAACTCTGCAGAAACCTAAGCTAGTGCAAATTCACATAAGGTTCTATTAATGCACTATTTCTGTTTGTAACTTAGAAGATTTATCTACACTGGTGTTATGCTATTAAAAAATGCTATTAAAATACTCATCTAGATGTAGCTACATCTCAGGGGGTGTATCTGAGTTAGTTGTTTCACTGTTAGGTCCTGTTACTTTGCTGGTAGGATCTACGCAGAGACATTTTTCCATTTTGAGGTCAGAACCACCGTTTATACCTTTCTTTCAGCGCATAAACCTACTGTTTATCTGGCATGTTCCTGTTTGGTTACTCTGAGGGAGGAATCTGCTAAAATAGCTGAGACTTGGCCAAAGCTCATTCAAGTAGCACCATCTTTTCTTGTTCCTGCGAATTAACGTTCACAGGATATTCTTAGCTCATCTACACTTAATTTTTTATCTAGTTCTTAATTATAATGATGACACAATGAAATCTTTTGCTTGCGGAGCACCTTGAACACTCCTGACTGCATCCCAAAGCAGCAGCTGCTGGCCAGGGAGAGATTTAAGATTTTCACTCAAGTGTCAGCTCTACAGAACAGGACTGCAGCAGGTTCTGCAAACTGTCTGGGGAGTGAGGGGCAGTCTCATGGGTGGTTTTGCCAGCCAGGGTGCAAGATGTAACAGCTAAAACAAGTTATGGTCATTTCTATAAAAGAGCTGGTGGTGCTTAAATTAGATGCCAGACCAACCAGCTCTGAGGGGAGATCTGTTACAGAGAACAGACAAGGCCAATTTTCCAACCACGTGTTTTAAAAAGGACATGACATTTTCTTCTCAACTGGATCACTGGGTAATGTATTTCTGTTCCAACAAGGAATTTTCTGAGACTAAACCCTGATTTCTTTGGACAGAATATTACCTCAGGTAAGGTACAGTTTAAAATGTTAAAACAGAGCAAACTGATAACAAAGTTCACATATTGGAATATTCCTTGTGCAGTCTGTGCTTTTCCACTCATTACAGAATGGAGAGTAGAGGTTTGTATTTCATGTGATAATACAACACAAGCTCTCAGTCTAACAGGAATTAAACAATTTAAATGTAAGCAAAATCAACAAAATCAATTCACTGGGATATACAGGTAGTAATAATTAACAAGCATTCCTATATGGTGCCAAAATACTGTACCATCCAACTTGTATTTCAAACAGAAGTTGTGTTTTTATGGAATCAATGATTTCCCCACTCAAGAGCTTTCATGAATTCCTCTTCAGTAAAAGAAAGCATTTTAGCAGCTTCAATGTGCATCTTAAAAGGAAAAAAAAGAAAATAAACTTAGGAGCAGAAGGTAAAACATTGTGAGTGACCAATACAAAATCCTGCCTAACAGCTGAAAGGGGGCTCCAATCAGTCGTTCCTTTTAGTTTTGTACTATGGTTTGGATGGATGTGCCCCTGTTCCAGCTGAAGCTGCTACTCGTACTTTTCCTGCAGAAATTTATAATGTAGGGATAATGTGATAAATTTTATGCTAAACCTTGCACCTGCAGCTCTAGTAAAACAGGACCAACAGCCCATCCGAGTTCCTTATAGTGCTTTACAAATACCTCTTTTTTAGTGAGGCATTGGAGATTCCTGAAAATCTGCTAGCTCCTGTGACCTCTGAAGAACACATGTAAGAAAACTGGTATATGCTCTTTCAAGCTGATTGATACACAGCTGCACTTTATTACAAATCAAATGCATTGCTAAGATTCAGCATGCTAGTGCTTCTGATTATGCATGACTGAATGTTAACTGAGGATTTTAACAAAATACCACCAATAAAAACTAACCATCAGCATAAAACAAAGAGTAACTGTACTGCACCTTAACAGGAAATGCCTGGAACTGACCACTGGTGGCTGTGTTGCCATGTATCACACCATACACTTGTGGTCCATTATGCACCCCCACACACATGTACATATGTACATGCTTAGAAATCATCCAGTAGTCTGATTTTTATTTCTACTACACAGAATACACCACATGAAAAGCAAACTGAAAAGAACAAACAGAACTTTTAAACTCAGAACAAATCTATTTCCTGTTCAAATAATGCAATTGGTTGGAGAAATGTTGCCAAGATCATTGTTGTTTGATGAGAAAACAAGTACTAAACGGGCAGTGTATTTGTACAGAACTGCCAGTCAAAAAGGCACAACAGTCGGGAAGCCCTGAAAGCTCCCTGGGCTCCATTCAGCTGATGTCACAGCAGAGGCCATACATCCACAGCACCACACTGCTGCATCAGCTCTTTACCTGGGAAATTGTCCCAGCTAAATAGTTTTTACTGCAAATTTTAATAAAATGGGTTATGTTTTGAAGAATAGGAAACAATTCATGTCTCCAAACAGTCTGTTATGTTGGGTTTTGGGGTGGTTTTTTGACATAACTAGTCTAATATATAGACCTATTGTCAGTTCAAAAGGACAACGAGTCGGGCAGTGTAATATGCTCCAGCTCTGTAAAGCTCAGACTAACTTCTCTTAACCCTTTTTAAAACCAAGACTTCCTATTAAATTCTCAAGACAAGCAGAGAGCGGTCTGCAGAGACCACCTGGAGCACCCGCATCCTACCCCTGCTACTTAACACCTTTTGGGGATTTTTCCCTCTTGCCATTCTTCTTATCCTCACCTTTAGGCTCGCTGTATCTGCCACACAAGCACTGCACAAAAGGCCCAAATCAGGTTTTCCTCATTAACTCACCAAAAGGCTTGTGTGAAGCAGATTCAAAGTTCTCTGGGTAGTTACACAGGTAAAGCACATGGGAGCTTCAGCAGCTCCTCCCCTGTGCCTACTGCCAGAAGGTACAGGAAGCAGAGTTAGCATGATTCTCTTTCAGGTTCTTCAGTCATAGCCTGGTCTGGAAGGGCAACTAACAACATCCTTCTGTGAGTAAATGCCAATTTATATAAGAAAAGGTAAGTGGCTTCCTCTACTTTCTGCTGTTCTGATACAGTATGTGTAATTTTTAAAAAATATATATATTTAATGAAGTTTTGTGGTGTGGTTCTGAGACTACGGTTTTGGTTCATGGTCAAACAAATTCTGCTTTCTGACACCCATTTCACTGAATTCATGTTCCGTAGGATTATGTGCTACCTCATGCATAGAGCAGATTTTGAGGGAGTTCTCAAAATAAACACAAAGAGCTAGAAGGGCTGGCCAAAAACTAAGCACAATTTTTGTTAGAGTAAGCCCCAAGATCTCCTCTGCATCCTATTACTGCCAGGAAAAGTTCCACCGGAATTGCAAGAACAGCCCCAGTTTCTCTTGTTCCAGTTACCTCCCCTCCCTCATCCTGTGTTGGAGAGGCGTTCCAGCTTCAAGGGTATATTTCCATATTGCAGTTCCCATTCTTAGGACAAGTATGTGTATTTTGTTACATGAAGCTGCTACTTCATACAGAAATATTCTTCCTTGGTGGGGGCTCAACAACTTCCAGAGTGTTTACAAAATGTCTGGTGACCACTGCAGTGCTCAAAGGGTAAATAAAATGTTCAGTTTTCTTATCGCAGAGGCTGGCCCTTCTAAGGTGCTTCTGCTCAACAAGTCACCAGACATTGCTGTATTAACTCTCCAACTACTTTGTTTTTAGAGTGCAGAAAGAAGAGCCATTAACTCCACCCCAAAATGAACCTTACTATATTCAACAGAGTAAGCAATTAGCAGTGAACTACGCTGCGGTGTTCAGATTTTGTGCAGTCAGTTGCAAAGCCTCTATCTCTGCATGTGTCTTGTTCAGCCTCAGAGGGAAAAGCTGACAGAAATGACAGCATACAATCCCAAGTACTGGGTAAGTGAAAGGTGTGATGGAACTAGTAAGGCCTAAGTGCATCAGTAAGTGGAAAACTGATTTAGGCAACATGTATAGTATGCATTCCCCTCAGTTTAATTTTCTTTCATGTAAACTCATAGGTTCTTTCAATTCGTATCATCAAAGCACATTTGACAGGTCTATGCTGAAAATGTATTTTGAGAGATACAAGGTACTTACCCACTCTGTAGTTCCCAGGTTTCTCTTTCCCAGTAAAACACCCCTCCTTTTTGGGACATCAGTATAGCTTTATTGAATGTGACAGTAAAGACCTCTTTAGCTGTATTCTAGCTGAAGTATTAATCCACTTTTTGCTGAAACACCTTTTCTATAAAAGCCAAATCACTGATTGTTCAGCATGAATTCTACTGTTCAGCAAGTATTCTACTGCCTATCTTCTTTCTAATTGCAGCTTCAGCTGCTAAAGAAACTAAAAGGCACTCAGCCCTGCCCTCTTACGCTCTGAGGAGAGGGATGGAGTGAGATATGAATGTAGATTCAAACGCTTTTCAAAATAAGGCTAGCTGCAAGTCAGGGTGGATGGGACCAGCCATACAGCCAGGTAGATGTTACTACATCCTCTGTGATTCAAAGTATGCATGATATTCCAGGAACTACAAAAGGAGGTCAACTCCCCTTGTCCAGTCTAGTAACTTCACACCTGAGATATAAGTACTCTCTACTCTCGCCGTCTTCTTTTTTGTCTGACACACAAGGAGATCTGCACCTGGGCAGAGTTGTACATGTACAGAATGCCTCAGAATATAAATAAAGTGTTGATAGAGAAGGACACACTTTGAGGACCCAGGAAGAATGTAGGTCTAAAATGTAACGGCTCGCTCCTGAGAGGGCACGCTGTTACAGCTGCTGCTATGACAAGTAATATGCTGGGGGGGGGGGGGGGGGGCACAGGGATGACTAAAAAGAACATCTCAATCGCTAAAATGGATTCTACTGACACAGCAGCAAAGGGAGCTGCTGGTATTATCTGAACAGTATTTGTTCTGGGACAAACAGATACTCTCAGTCCTAAAATTTGTCAGTAGTGATTTTTCACCATGACAGGATATGCTTCAAGTTAAGAATGGGGTCAATTCAAAAGGAGATCAGCCTCTGCTATAAAGCAAAATGTTAGCAATATGCACTAAAAAAAGTGAGGCTGCTGCTGCCTCGCATTGAAACCTCCCAGTCTTGGGGCTCCATTTTACAACCCTAACCTTACTTAACAACAGACACATTTAGTTAGAGACTGTTAACTGAAACAGAACGATACCTGGTCCTTACCTTTTGCCTCTTTAAGATATCAATTAACTTTAACTGCTTTTTAAAACCCATCATTAGCTCTTCTTTTTGCTTCTGCAGTTTCTTTTTCTCTGCTTTTAATTCTTCAATTATTTTGAGTTCTTGGTTAGTTGCATCCTATCATGAGAAGGAAAGGAGAATTGCATAATTTGTGGAAGTGGTGCTTTAACCAATGAAACTTGGCATTACATCACAAAATGACAAACAGTAGCCGTACGAGACATTCCTGAAAAGATATGGGATAAATCAAAATATTTCCCCATCAAAACTTAAAAAACCTGAAATCTCAAAGATAAAGCTGTGGTTTGCCTGTGTGTATGTACCAGGTGTGTGTGGCTACTTCTCCCTTCTGAGCACGTCTAATTTTCACACAAATGGGGAAAATTAGAAAGGTGGTAACTTTATCCTGGACATTTCTTCCTCCTGCATAGGTTGCAGTAGTAGTGTCTGAGATAACTCATCAAGTCTTTTGGTGACTTGCTCTAAGTTAATTCAAGACTTTTTAGCACTACTGATCAATTACAGATCAAAACATGTTTTCCTAAGCCACTGTACCTTGTTACTTTGCTTCAGTTTACTCAGCTCCACTTTATACTTCTCTGCTTCTTCAAGGGCCCTGTTTAAGCGAACCTCTGTTGCACTCTGACTGCTTGTGGCCTGCTTTTGTACACACTTTAGATTCTCCAATTCCTATTTAAGAAGGAATGAATCAAAACAAACATTATGAATAATGTTATTTTACTGAATCCCATACAGACATCGCATTTACAGCAAGGCTCACCCTTAGAAACTGAAGAGCCTGTGTGCTTCTTTGGCCTGCAGATAGAATCTGTCTCAAAGACAATTAATTATACCATCAAAACATCCCCTTCTCCTTTGAACTCTTGAAAAGGGATCCTTATAATCTTTGTTTTAAAGTTCTCTCAGAACTCTCAGAACCAGTTGTGGAGCTGATCACATAAGACCACAGGATTGACTGGAAAACCTGTATGCTCAATCAGAAAAAAACCATCAGTATGTGCCCTCTGTGGCACTCTGGAAAGGTGGCTGGTATCCCCAACTGCTCTTTCCTACATGTTTCTTTTACCTCTTTTCCCCAGAGATCACTGCATGCAAAAAAGTTAAAACAGCCTCCTGAAGGTGGCTAAGGGTAGGAACTATTTCATCTAGCAGAAAATAGCTCATCAAGTGATTATGGCAACAATCAGAACAGTTCTCTCTTGTCTCTGATGATAGTATTTCATAGTGCTGTATGTGGGGAAATGAGAAAAAGAGACTAAGCTGAGGAACAGAATAATGAGATTAAAGATCAGGGAATATAGATAAAAGACAAAGTAGAAGAAATAAACAATTCTGGCAGAAAGAGAACATCTTGTCATTTGTGAAAAAGAAAGAAGACTTTTTAAAGTCTATCAAATTATTAGTAATGGGCACAGAAAGAGTCTTTTAAGCAAATCAGGATAGAGGGGAGCTTGTTGTTAACCTTTTATCCTCAGACTGCCTTATTTCTGAGTAACTGTTATATTTTCTCCATTTCACACCACCTCTTGTTACTTATGATTTCCAAATTACTTATCCAAGAAATACACCCTAATGGACAAGTGTATGCAGTAAGGACACTTTGGTAAAGTTATGATGGAAACGGATATTTCTAGGAAGCTCACAGTTTTCTCCAAAATGGATGAAGAAAACGGGAGAGTACGACGCATCTCACTGACCCTTCAAAATCCTGTTGGTGAATGTGCCTCCTCTAAGAGTGCATAAAACCAGATGTTGCCTCAAGGTTTTTATTTTGTTGCTAACCTGTCCATCTGACTGATTACAAACCACATGGGCAAGAGCCTGGCCAGTAGAGCAGCAGAACCCCCCCCTGCAGCACCTGCATCATCAGGGAATGCAGACCATTTGCTGGAGACTGACCCAAAGAAAAAAAGCTGCACAGCCTGCAAACCAATCTGTCTTGTATCAAGATGATGAAGCTGTAAAGAGTCAGCTAAACCTTTTGTGCTACGTACTTTATTCTGCATTAATATGAAAAGCTTTGGTATGCAGCCTTGCAAGCATTTAATGACCAAAACCACAGTCTCCATGCAATGCAACTTACGTATCAGCTAATCATATCATTTAGTGAAAGAATTCTAATAATTCTTTTAGGGCCTTTTGACATTTACTGTCATACATAATACCTTATCAAGGATTATTTTTTTTTTTCACGAGTCATCTAGTGAGGATGGTTTTAATCTTAAAAATGCGTGCAATAAGTATTTACCTTTGTAAGTAGGCAAGGTTTCTGCCAATTTTTCAATACTTGAAGTAAAAGCTGGATTAATTTTCTCATATAATGTTTCTCTAAGGGGGGGAGGGGGGGGAAGCACATTACTCTGTTTTAAAACAGCATCCCACTTCCATCCCTGGATTGTCTCCCCTGTTCTGTCATGGCTGAGGCACTTAAATATCAGTAGGGATTGTGATACCAGAGAGCTCGTCCACAAGTAACCCGCCCAGCAGGCTTGCTTTTCTCCCAGTAGCAAGCATATACAGCACTTCTATCTTTAGAAAGCTCAGCAACACCTGTCCACCCCCAAAAACATTTGAGAGATGATGTTTGCTTAACGTCAAGCCCTCCTTCAAGGCAAATTATAAAACCCTTGCATGAAGCCTTAAAAGGAGTAAGAGAACAACCTTAGTGTTTCCCTGATCTTCATCTAACACTATAGCAGATTGAACTAACGAGAGAGAACACGGAGGAAAGAATGTTCTTGCAGACAGGCAGTAAAAAAAGACAGAAAAGGTGATGTCATTTATTAGATCAATGAGATGGGGAAAAAGAAGATGCAGGAAAGAAGAGGGTGGAAGATTTGTGCAGCATCAGCACTCAGCTGCTGCCCGAGGTGGGTGTTCCAGCAGAAATATTCAAGAGTCCAATCACCAGAAGAATGAGAATTAAAAATAAACTCATTACCATGTTTTAGGTAAATTGTGAAAACTAGGTGAGAATCTGTGCCGAGGCACATGAAAGAAAAAGTAGCTGGGGGATTAATGAAATTGCAGAAATTGTGGGAAATCTGAGGAAGCATGGGAAAGCACATATCACAGTCGGAGTCTTCTATCATTTATGTTGCAGCAGAAATCACAACAAAAGCAATAAAAGCCCCAAAATCAGAGATTATATTTGTGCTATCTCAACTACGCTTTCTCCATACTGAAAGTGTGAGTTTTGAGTCTACAGGCACAGCAGTACAAATTCAGGCCCATGTTCACAGGAAATCGTTACATGTATGTCTAGAATGAATCTACAGCTACATTAATTATATGGTGTTGAATAATACTTCATAACTAAAGAATAAACCAGTTTTCAGATTGCCACGTCCATAGGAGATTTAAGCAGTTTCTGCAAAATTATTTTTAAATGCATGGGGTTGGTAGATATTTTTTTGTATCAGAAAAAAAAGTAAAATAATTTCTGAATTAGCAGAGAACCATTCATTACATACACTTGCCTTTTTATGCCATATTAGTATTTTAAGCAAGTACCACTATTTGTCATGATTGTGTCTGATCAGTAACCTTGAGAAAGTCTAGAAAACAGAATCTATTAGGAACAACTGAAGCAACTGAGGATGGTAAATGCAGAGCAAAGTGACTGTAGTTTGGATATAGCAGCTGTACAGCAGAAGTGAATAAACTTTTCATCACAACAGGCATCTAAATACTGGGATAAACTTTCTAACTGTGGCTGTGTGTAAGAACCAACACAGACTGTCTATGGAAATTATGGAAATTACCATCACAGAAGGCTTTAAGTATAGGCTAAACTTATTTCTAGGAGGGTTTAGATATCATCTGTCCTGTCTTGGTTTAAGAGAATGGCCTAAATGATTTTGTAAATCTTTTAGTCCTATTTACTGTGAATTGATGAACAGTATGAGTACTTCTGTTGAATATTTTTTTTGCTGACAGAATCAACCATCAGGGTGTGTATTTGAGGGAACTTAAAACCTCCAAGAATCTGCACAAAAGAACACACAAACTGTAAACATTTTAGTTTAAAAACGCTAGAACTATAAAACTTAGATTGTAAGTTACAATGCTAGAACTACAAAGCTTAAGATGAAAGCATGCCTATACAAATGTGTAATATGATTTAATGGACGTATAACGAGACTGTGTCAGGCTGAGTTGTGTTCTGTTTTCCCCAGTTTTTTAAGAGAAACGTTCTCCTGGTTATACTACATGTGCAACACAATACTATATGTATCACATGATTTTGAAGTCAACCTCTCCCACTCTGAGTAATTAAACCACGTGCTGCTCTTAGATGAAGTTCCAAACAAGCAAAGCTGTTTATGCAGCCATCTGCTACAACTAGGCACCTATACAATTTTGCATATGTGGCCTACAGCAGGAGACAGGTTAATTTTGATTATTTCATTTTCAAGACCAAAGACACATCCTTTCCTCTACCTGCAGAAGACACTAATGTAAGCCACAGGTGAGTTTTTGGTTTGTTTTTTTAAAGTTCACCAGGTTCTACAGTTGACAATAAAACTCTTATTACCAGAAGTCATTTTTGACCATTATAATTAAAACCAGAAAAATAAAATTTCCCTGTATTTTTCAAGATTCCTCTGTGAATTTGACAGTGGTTTCTGAAACAGTTGTTTTGTGTCTTGCGGGTCTTTTACACAAGAACTTAATTATTTTAAAATACAGAACTATATAATGGTGGAAGCAGAAGAAAAAGAAATTAGTAAAATACATTATTTCCTCCTTTCAAAAAGTGATTAGACCATTTAAATTACAATTTCTAAAACTACTATCAGAGACTGAAACACTAATGGGATCAGTGGAAACGCATCTATGAAGCTAGGGGAATGTGATGCAGTACTTTTCCCCTTTTGTGAGATAAATGAGACTAACATCTGCAATACCTTTTCTAGCGCAGCGACTTCTTGTTGTAACCCTTGACTTTTTCTGCTTGCTTCTTGTGACAACGCTTTATACTTCTCGCTCTGAGAACATTGCACGCTGATGGTTCGTTGCAGTCGGGCAATTTCTCCTTCAGTTTCTTTAAGCCGAGACTTTAAATTCCGATTTTCGTCATCCTGTTTGACAGTAATCAACAGAAAGAAACCCCACCTCGATTACTGCAAGGAAGCAGCAGGATAATGCAATAGTAATATTTTGTAAATAAAATATTTATTTTATTGATATATTTATATATATATTTATAATATATGTAAATATATCCGTATTGTACATATGGAGATCACTAGTTTAAAAATTGTTATTTTTAAACTTTCAGATCCTTCATAATGGACTTCACAATTTCAAAGAGAGGAAGGAATGACGAGAAACTAAGAAAACAAAACATGGATTTACCAAGACAACAACTCAAAAGATAGGAACGCTTTCCTCATTTAATTTTCTGCAGGCTTTTACTTGGATGTAAAACATTTGATTTCTCCTAGTTCAAAGGTTTTGAGAACTATGAAAATGTTACAGAATAGTGTGAATAACAGCGGCATGCAGATATTTTGTGACACTTTTGTGAGAATAGCTAAATGCACTCATTAGGAAAAATTCTTGGAAAAAGAACAGAATATAACTACTGATAAATCAATCCATTATGTTTTAGGAGATTATCTGGTTTTCACTTAAAAGCAAGCTAATGATCAAGGATGCATCAAGTATTCAAATTCAAGATTCTCTTAACATCAAGTAAATCCTGTATTAGATTCATGACCTTACTGGCAATTACATCCCACATTAGGCATTATAATTTCAATGCATTTTTCTTTTCTAACCTTTTAAACATGGTAAGTGAATATTAATGTTATTTCAGAGATACATTATGCCCTTCCCACCCTTAGGATTCTGTGATTCATTTCTTTAAGAAAAATAAATCAAGGCACACACAGAAATGGAATTTCCATGAAAACAGATCTTCCTCTCCTGTTCTCCCAGCAACTAGGAATACATGCTTCTCACCTGGGAAATACATGTGCTTTACTCTAAGTTTCATGTGCCCACATGCACCTCAGAAGTTCCTAGTTCTTTAGACTTAAAACAGATTTACTGCTTCCTTAGAACAACTGGACTGTGAATTGGAACAAAACCAGAATCTACCTCAAGGCTTTGTGTATCTGAAACTTTTTGTGATCTTCTGAATGTAATTAAGATATTTTCAGACCAGAGAAACTAGAGCCCAGGACAATATGTTTAGATACAGAGTGCTATGGGACCAGGACAAGAATAAGTACCGGGCCACCTTCTGTCACTTGCTATAGTAACAGAATTCTGTGGTATTTTTGGCATGAAATTCTGAAGTTTAATAGCTACTGACAAAATTAATTTGATTTGAAAATGAAAATGCTTTTAAAATCTAATAATGACGTTCTCCTGATCACAGCATGAAAGTACCAAGATACAGAAGTACCTGCATCGATACAAGTGAAATAAAGGATAAAGTACAGATATAAAATATCAAAAAGTAAATCCTTCCAAAGATTTTCTCCAGGTACTTATCTCACAAAACTTATTTAATATCATCCTTCTCCTTAACTCTAAACTAAAAGTTTGAGAGAAAAAATACAGGTGGTTTGTCATATGTTCTGAATGCCATCATCACGTTTGGGCCTGAGGAATAGGTGCAGAAAAGCATTCTGAAGTTGAGAGACTACAACTAAGAATGATCTAATAGTGGAAAATGGAAAGTTAGTTCAAAAATCTTCCTCGATTACAAATACATGAAAAAAGAGGTGATCCCTCTGGCAGGCAGACACAAACTATTTAAGGTTTTACAGTTCAAGAAATGTTTAAGCATTACCTAAAAACATATTGCTAGACAGTGCAGATCATAAAACTCACTTGTAGTACACTCTAACACTAAAATATCAGTGTAGCTTAACAATGCCTTAACTTCAGCCTTATCTGCCCAAATATGTAATTCCAAATACAATCCTCTGCATCAAGTACAATCTGAAGAATGGAGAAAGCCAAATTTCTGTTTTGATTACAGTATTCCACTTGAACTGGATCACAGATCAGCTCCAGGCACCACTCCTCTCTGTGTACCAAAATCCATATTTGACTGCTAGTTTATCCTCCTCCTTTTTCTGAGGCTCTGCTAATGCTCTCCATCCCAGCAGTGATGGCTAAGGCACTCTGCAACACCAGTGTTCCTACAGCTGGGGCATATCTTCGGTCCCAGCAGCTCTTTCCTGCCTGCAAGCTTTTAGCCCAAGATCATACAGACAGAGAAACTACTATCCTTGATTCTAAATTCTTAGGAAATCTAAAAAAAAAAACCCCTTATCTCTTAAAAAGGAAAGGCCGAGGGAATTCCATTGTGATTATTTGTTGAAGGGGAACTTACTCCATTTCTACAGACAAGAAAACTCAGCTCTCACCTTTTTCCTGCATTCACGTACTACACTAGCCAGCTCTTCTTGCGTAACACGTAACTTTGCCTTGAGAAATCTTACTTGAGCTTCTGTGAACATAAAAAGTTACATTTAATATCCACAAGTACTCATTATTCAATGCAGTAAAGAAGCAAGACTGATACAAGAACTCACTTTCATCATCTTGTTTCTAAAAACAATTTTTAATTATTAACAGAAAGAGGAAAATAACTCAGATTCCTAAATAAATATTTCAGGTTTCTCACTCTTAGGCAAAGCTTTGCGTAGATTTTTCTTGTAATGACTGAACTCGGTATCTTTAAAATATAAAAGACTCATAATTCAAAATTGAAACTTTTGGCATACTATGCTATACATTACAGCATTCCTTGAGATTGACGTCACAAGAGGTAAAGAAAATTAAACAACTAGTTTTCTAATGGGTTGCTTTCAATCACCTGATGAGGCTGATGAGGGGAAGGGTATCACTTAATAGGATGGTCTTAGTTCATAAAGTAACCAGCAGTTTAGAGAATGGTAGGCAGGAAAGGGGTATCTGAGAGATTTTAATGTTCTGATTGAATAGTTGTCTTGAATTCCTAAGGTAATCTGAAGATTAACATGAAGTGTGACAACACAGTCGGTATTTTGTTCATATGTGTGTGGCTATATTAGATAAAAATAGAGCTTCATGTTCAGCCTTCTATGTATCTGTGTGCTTCTAACTGCTTCTTACCACAGAGTTGAGTCATAATCCACAAAAACAGGCCCTGAGGAAAATGATGTGTAAATCCTGTGTTGGCAGAAAAACAGCTGGACTGTGACAACCTCTGATCATGAAATAAAGATATGGAACCTAAGTCCAAGATGAGCACTGCAAGAAGCTGAAGGAAAGGACAATGCTATCAAACCTTATCAGCCATTGGCCTAAAAACTATCACAGGCACATAAGCCCAAGGAATCACTTTACTGAAAGATTCCAACTAAGAGATCAGCCTGCTCTGTTACAAGGGCCTATTTAGTTTTCTACCTTTACTTCAAACTGTTGGATTAAAAGAGGAGGTTTGGGGCATTTTGTACTACTGCACTGAATCTCTGACTTCATGCTTACTTTAGCATTGTAAGAAACTGTATAAACTCACTTTTATTACATCTGAGCCAAAAAGGCAGATGTGCATCCTTCCTTTAGCTTCACTGGAAATACTGCAATCCCCTTTCCTATTCTATTTCTAGGACAAACATAAACACACCATGTGGAGTGGGAAAGTAGCTGGAGGATTCTCATTCAAGCACTGTAGCTGAACCGTTACTTCATTTAAGCCACTTACTAAGACCCACAGCACTGATCTGAGGAAAGGCTTTTTCCTCTAAGGGCAGAATCTGTAAAGAATAGGAATTAATCTATTTGGAAATAGAAGCTTAGCATCACGTATTTCTATTCCCGCAGTGAAATGAATCAAATGTCAGGCACAAATTTGACATATTAACCACCCAAATATCTTCCTACAAAGGTAAAAATCCAGATAAAAATTCACTTTTCCACATGATTATTCATATGTGATCTGATCTTTCCCTAGGATTACATAAAGAAAAACCTTCCTGTTCTTTTGCCTTTAACTAAAGATCATTAGAACTTTCCCTGCAATTCCTACAGAAACTCTTCCTTTTTTTTTTTTTTTTTTTTCCCTGCAGGAGAACCCATTTCTAACAGTGAAGAAGGAAGAATGAAACTATTTAACCACAGGAGGAAACCTACCTGCTCCAATTTCATTTCCAGCACTTGGAATAGCATCATCATCTACACAATCTGGTAAGACTCCTTTCTCTAGTTTTTCCTCTATTTTGCTTATTGTTTTTGCTAAAGAAAAATCTGTGCAATCCCCCAGTGCTGCAGCAGCATCAACACTTCGTACTTCCAGGTTTCTTGTTTTTGAACTAAAAAAAAAAACCAGACCTTGGATTTTAAATGTATAATAATAATTTTAACATCTACAAAAAATATAGTGTATTTGCTATTTTTAAGAATATGCAAAGTTACCTAATGCAACTTCATTGCTTGCATTCATATGAAAGACACATTGATGGCAATTTCTTACTTTCTAAGATTCCTTTACTGTATTCCACATAAACAATTACAGTGTTTTACACATTATTATGCAGAGGGCAGAAAAGGCAGTACCATTTTCTACTGAGAAGATTCTGGCATGATCTTCTCATCCAACAACTTCATAACTAAATCAGAGTAAAAGTAAGAAACAGGAATGTTGACTTGCCTTTAGCTACTGTCCTTTGCCTTAAATTCTGCTACTTCTCCCTACTTCCTATGTTAACTTCGAAGACTTTGTCCATTCTAGCTATACTCCTACCTTACCGCAACTTCTGTATCATTATGCCTGGCCTAGGAAACTTCATTGACCCTGGAAGCAGCATACCAAAGTTTTCATAAAATCAAAACACACGGTGTGTGACACAACTGCTACACAGGGTATCTCCTCGTCTTTCTTTTAGAAAAAGATAAAGTAGTTCCTACAGGATCTGAAGCTTCTAAATTCTTATTCCAGTATATCCTTATCCCAGTGCTGCTGCCAGTCTCCTAGCTGCTTTCTCCCACAACTTTGGGTTCACCCTGCATCTGCACAAGTCCATCTCTAAATCTCTTGAAGAGGTGCTAGTGTGACAGTCTCCCCTGAACTGTCCAAGAGAGGTCCAGAGGGTCCACAAGTGACTTATAGGTCCTGAAAGACAACCTCATCCTGTGTTAATTACATGTTCTGTCTCTTTGCAGCCAATTTTCATCCTGTTTTGGCATTTGTCCATATTTTGTGGCAATTTTAATTTGCTCCCAGGATTTTATGCATTTCTCTACTTTCTTCTTTTGTATAGATCTCCATTTCTTGCTTTTACAACCTTGAATTTGCTTTTGACAGAGCTGAAGCTTTTCAGCTTTGAACTCCTGAAAGCTGTAGCACTATTACTGACTTTGTCCTGTCCTGTGAGCTGAAGACTCACCAAAATAAAGGAGACACTCAAGAGCCTTATTTCCTGTCACAAGTCTGATCACAAATCACCCTGCACCAGCTAAGTGTGCTCTCTCAGGTTGACTCAGATTATGTAATTCCCATATGTATGCTCCTTAGGCATCCTTTCACTTGAAGAGTTAAGAGTTTAACTGTCAGCCTTGAGAATGCTTGAGCAGAAAGCAACAGTTGTAGTATTAATCACACATGTTCCCTAATAGTTTTTGGTATGCTCCCTGCAAGCAGACAGAGGTAGCTACATGGTGGAGCTGACTGAGCAGGACCAAAAGTTTGCTACACTTATTTACACAAGTATATACAAATATAAAACCATACATGAATGAAAATAACCCGATAGACAAAAATAGCAACTAAAATATTTTATTACAAACAAAAAGAGGTGTATAATATACCTTGAAGTTGTTCTTTTCCCCTTACTTCCAGAGTATGGTCTGTTCTGAGCCATCGGCATGGAAGCACATTTCTTCTTGTTTGCTGGCTACAATTTGTTTCAGAAAGTAGTGATTTTTTTTAATTAGTTAGGAATTTCTTTTTTTCCTAGTGTCTTGTGGGTTATTTTTGTTTGCTTTCTTCATCTATTTAGACTCAAGGATACTTTTCAAACGTTCAAAAGCACAATTTTTCAGTTTTATTTGCACTCATCTTCATCTTGCTACTTTTATGACCATAGGCCCAAATTATAATACATCCAATGGGCATTTGTTTGTGGGAGGTTTTGCACACATACTCATAATAAATTCAGGCATAAGCAAGGCCAATATCTTGGCCATCAAGATATTAACTACTGAACTGTCACAAGAGTGCATTTCTTTCAGGACTTCATACTTTCATGCCTTCAAAGCCATACTATTTTTTATGCATTTTTTATTTTCATCTTACAAATTCCCTGTAGAAGGCAGACCTAACAATATTTTTGTTACTTTCACCCAAACAAATATTCTTCCAAAATTAAGGGGGTTTTATTGTATTCTCATAAATGAGGACAATATTTTGGAAGTTTTAGCTCACCTCCTAAAAGATTCAATATAATTGTAATTAGAGACCATTGAGTTTGCTGCTATTCTCAGTCTCCTTTTTTCCATTCTATTTCCCTTCCTGTACTCAGTTATTTTGACTACTTGTTTATTATTACACCTAAAAGACAGTAGCACTCCCTTTAGTATTATACTGGTGGGGGAGGAAAGAGGAGAAAGGAAAAAATGTATTATGTTCTAATACTTAGCACTTAATTCGATGTTCCAAACACTGAATAATTCTGTGAATGCTTTACAGAAGAGGAAACTCAGAACACAAAAATGAAATGTAAGTCCACTTAACCACCAGTGGCACTGAGAAAGCCTGGTAACACAGTTCCTGTAGCACTGTTTTGAGCATCATTTCCTTCTGGCTTCCTACCCATGTAAGTCCCCAGTGCAGAACAGCCTCAAAACCAAAAGTAATATGTGGAAATGATACTAGAAGACAAATTAACCAGGATAGTTTTAACTCTGATACCTTAGTGTGTGAATGTGTAAGAGAAGCAACTTGAGGACAGAGTGGGTCTCTGCAGAAAAAGATTAAAATAATTAAAAATTAACTGAACATGTATAACAAAATAAACATTTTAGAATAAAAATTGACACTCTCCTGACAGAATTAGGAGAATAACATTTTATATGTCTAGAATAAATATAGCTAAGGTACTTCAACCATAAATTCAGTCTCATTCTCTGCCCTTCCATTCTACCTTATTTGCTATCTAAATCACCTGGTGAGTCTAGAATACCTAATACAGCAGTTTGCTTAGGTACCACAATCTGAATCTCTTACAATTCAGGTGACTGCTGCTGATCTACTTATTTGGCTGAAAACCATGCTGCTTAGTAACTGAACCTCAGGTTAATTGATTATTTTTTAAATCTGCTGGAAAAAAAGCAGAAAGTTTTAGCATGCTGTGTACTATCCAAGTCCAGTTTCTTGTCATATATGTCGCTTTTTTGTTTTCAGAATGAATTATAGGCATCTGTGCTATTGCACTGAAAGGCTACCTTTTTACTACCCTTTGTAATTTTTTACTTCAATTAAAATGCTGGCTTATAAAAGATTTTTAAATATATATTTATATATATATATAAATTTATATAAATATATAAAATTTAAATTTACGCACATCAAGTCACCTCAATTTTTTTCCCCAGCTGATTTGAGCAAATGCTTAGATATTGCCTTTAAAAATTTCACAGACATCCATTCATCAACAAGAATTATCTGCATAAAGACCCATATTTTATTAAAAAACCCAAACAAACAAACAAAACCAACCCCCAAAAATCCTAACAAAACCCCCAACCAACCAGCAACAAGAAGGACAAAAACACAACTGGAGAAATCATCTGTGTGTGGCTGGCAACAGACTTCAAGAATAGGATGATTAGTTTTTGTCTATTTACCCTATTTTCCTCATGCCTCCTTCCTATTGGCTAACACTAGAAGCATGCAGAAGGTGAGGATTTGCTGCCATAGAAATAGCAGTTTTATGTTACTCTGAAAAATATGAAAATACAATGCTCTCTGTACTCAAGAAAACAATAATGTTCTTTCCATCAATAGACTAATCTGTTCCTACTATAGCTGTTGTCTGAGGGCCTTCTTTAAAAAACAGAAACAAAATAAACCCTCATTGTTCACTAAATTCTTCAAACTTGTTTAACCTTAACAATTTATTTCCACTTCCCCACACATGACAACCCATTTTTAAAACCTCAGAATATAGTTCTATAGCTGTGTCATAAGTGAAATCCATTTGTAAATCCTGAAAAGGTATATAAATAAGTAGCTAGAGTATTGTGGCAATACTGAAACAGAAGCTAATGTTTAACAATTCCATCTCTGCATGTAAACAGGAGATGCATGTGCATGAGCAAACCCTTTGTGTTTGCTAATCCTATTCAAAGCCTATAGCATGCTTGTCCATGCGCACAGTTCCCATCGCCATGAGCCTGGCAGTGCTCTGAGGAGTGAAAGTGTAAACAAAAGCTGATGTCAGTGTGGTGTCACTGGAGCTGCTTTGTCTCTATATAATTCAAGTTTCTCTGAAAAAAATGATGCAATAAAATCTCCAGAACCACTTCTTTTAAAATATACACTGATTTTGAGTGACTTATATTTGTTGCCCTTTTTTCACTTTGCTTAATGATTATTTTTTTCTCTAAACCTGTCTTTTTTTCCCCCTTGTACTACATCTTTCTTTGCTTCAGTTTCTCCCCTTCTTTTCAGTTGCTTTAATGTTTATTCTCTGTAATGAAATCAATGGAAATTTTAAATGGATGTTTCAAAAATCTCTGAAATGTTTCCTTTAGGTTTATGGTCTATCTACTTGCACAATTTTGGAAAAAATAAATGGCCTAAATTAAATATTAAATACTTGGAACTAATCTAATTGAATGGCCTCAATGTTCACTCATGGATAATCAGTGTGCCTAATTCCTAGCACACATTTCTATTTTTTTCACTACAGTATAGGATTTAAATTCTTCTGTCACATAAATATCTGCCAGCACACAGATTGTGGTTGTTTTAAGGTGTTTTAGTTTATGAAGGTAAGCGGTAGATCAGCCGCTTCGCTGACATGCAAATTGCCAATATTTGTTTTTAAATCTTCCAGCACTCCCATTTATTTCAAATGCATACCATCAAAGCTATTAACCCCCTTTGTGGGGCTGAACCCTCCAATCACATTACCTCATAAACCAGCCCTATAACTTAACTCAGTTTGAAGTTCTTAAAAATCTTCTGCTGTTCAAAATCCATCTAACAGAACATAAAAGTAAAGCAAGACAGAATTTGTTTGCAAAGCATGATGATACTGATAACACATGGAGTTTTAGGTGGTTTTTTTTTTCCCGTCTATAACTGACAAATTTAGCTTTTAAATAGCTCAGGAATAATTTTAACTACAGCAGCAAACTTCTGATGGTACAGCCAAGCTTCTATCACAGACTTGCTTTCTACCACAGTCACACTTTCTGTCTACTGAAAAACCCTTTCATGTCCATAGACAAACGCTCACTTTTTGGTTTTGCTTTTGTTCTGCACAGAAGTAATTATTTCATCATCTCTAGCAGACTTTCATATACACTATTTTATGTTTCCCAACTGCTTTACTTTTGAAACACTGTGTAGTCTTGCCCAGTACCTCTGTTATCTAGATTAGTAGCATCAGAAATTTAGGAACCTACCAGATCAGATCCTTGATAAACTGTGTAGTAGTCTATCTTAAATTCACCCACTCCCTGTGCTGTCAATATACAAACTCTTGAACAACTAAGCAAATAATAATGCCCCTGACCAGCTAAGTAAATACACCTATGTATCCACTCCAGCACTAACGGGTTTTAACTTAACAGGCCACAACACACAGTTGTATGTATGCTCATACAGGCCAAAGCTGTCGGACTACTGAGGTGTAATGATATCCAAGTTCCAGAGGGTGGCAGCTGAATTGCTGTCTGTCCTGGGTTTCTCTCTGTGTTGGGGTGGGGGTGGGAGTGGATTTTTTTTTGTTTGTTTGTTTGTATGTTTTCATCAAACACTTTCTATCCCAGGAATATTTAGGCCAAGTTTAATATGAACCAGTATCTATTTATTTGCTTTGTCAGATGAACTGGTTAAAAACCACCTACTGCTGTCTTGTGTTTTGTACTGCAAATAAACCTGTTGCCTTACCTTGCTTTTTTACAGCTATCAGTACTACTTAACATCCTAGGTAGAACATGTCATGAAAATGAAGACTTTTTTGAAATAACAAGGAATAACATTTACTTAGCATCGTTTCAATAGGAAAAAATTAGACTCCACCAATCCAGTATGCTGCAAAGATAGATTCAACAGGAGCATGACCAAGGGTGCAAGGCAGAGTGTGCAGGATCACTGTAAACATTCCCCATGAATTATATGCAGCAGTTTTAAAGCACATACTTTTGTTAGCTGTTAAGCACATACCTCTGTTTGTCTTCTTCAGATGACTCAGTCTGTACTGACACTGGTCTAGACAGTATCTCCTGTTGGCCTTTCTTTATTTAAAAAAAAAAAAAATGTCAATTTGGGGGGAATATAAACCATTTTAAAGATTAATTACATATTTGTAAATCACAGATCACAACAACAGTCCACTACAGAAAAGAGTGGAAACTATAGCCTAGTGTGTAAAAGAACTTCTCAAACACAGGAAAAGATGTGGAAAACTTAAAACGCCATTCCTGTACCCCATCAGGTATTCCACCTCTGCAATATGCAATTGCCTTTTGCTTGTAAAACTTTGCTCAACATCATCTGAGATGCTGCTACCCTCCTTCCTTTTTCTCTGAAATACAAGAAGTAGCAAATGCACAGCAGGTAGAACAATTTTTCAATTTTACATATTGTATAAGCCTTAGAAATAAATCTTGCAACATGACTATAATTGGACACTGATATTGCTGTATGTACTTTAGAGAACAATTCAGTCTGAATGCTCAGATAGCTTCTATGCTGCTAAGTTACAATCACAATGCATAATCCAGAACAAAATGCAGTTGTCCTGTTTTGTTTTTTGGGGAGGGTGTTTAGTTTGGGGCATTTTTGCTTCATTTTTAACTTAAGAGTATTTTTCTCTTGTTGTTAAATGTATATCTGTGCAATCTGGCAGTGCCATGTGGTATATTAAGTGTCCTAAGAATATATGGTCTTCTGCTGTATTTGGAGAAGGAAAAATAAACAAACAAAAAAGTGGGTTTGTTGTTGCTGTTTTTTAAAGGAAAGAGACTGGATGCTATTTTAGCCACTTCATCTGCTTCTGTTCCAATGTCAAGCAGTTAGCCTCAGCTTGAGGCTAACTAAGAGAAGACTATGTTTTCACAGGACATAAAAATGAAGTTTCAGCAGTAGGAAAAGTGCATACAAGTACAGCTTTCCTGAAGATGTTTTAAGCTTTATTTATTTGAGTCATTTAAAATTACTTTCTCCAAACTGTTTTGGGCATAAACCATACCTCCCCCATTCCCTTGTTTTAATTTGTCCAGATTTCCTATAAAACCCTGACTCTATGTGGTATACAGCCACACCAGTGTTAAAAGATAATACAGACAAAGACGGGATTTTTTTCTGTTTTAAGAACGTTTTCTTCTTACTAACCATTTATTTTTCTATTTATGCTGCTTGTTCTTTGTATTTCTTTCAGCTTGACCAATGTAGATCCTATTTCACTGGAGTGTTATTGCAACAGTATCTGGTTTTCAAATACCTGGGGGTTTTGTTTGTTGGTTTGTTTGTTTGTACTTACGACATAAAACCAGATACTTTTCCTAAACAGCTAAATTTTTTTACGTGGCTTTATGTATATATCTGCACAAATGCTGTATGCATCTGTCTGGAGACTGATCTACCTGATGGAACTATATAAAAATCGGTTTTGGATGTGTTCTTAGTAGAAGTTTATAATCTTGGAGGCAAAAAAAACACCCAAACACTTCTAGTTGTCACGGTCTAAATAATTTCTTTTGAAACTGGACCGTGCGTACATGTGAATCAAGGCTGAATCATGTAACAGTCTGCATAATCTACCCACCATTACTTCTTCAGCCTGACGCACCAGTTTTTCTGTTTTTGCTTCTAATTCTGCATTCAGCCACCTGAAAGAGTAAGAAAGTTCGTCACTGAGGCTTCGAAAGATTTAAAAGAAATAAATGTAAGCCTGAGGGTACCACTGTATGAACTAAGTGAAATTTTACGAACTCCTACAAAGAAACACCAACATATACTTAAGGGTATTAACAAAGTTATGTTTCAACGATTTCTGTGTTTCTGTCAAATCAATAGTCATAAATCACCTATACCCATTAAATAGTAAGGTTTAGACTATAATTCTGAGAAGAGTTTTGGCCACGTCACTGCTTAATACACATTTTACGGCTTCATTTCTTCCATGTTTTCTGTTTTTAAGAGTCTTTAAGTATCCTCAGCAGCAGAGGTTGGGACAGCAATCACGTACAACTGCATTTCTTGATCACATAATTAAGATGTGTCACTATACATATCCATAGGTTAAAGTAAGCTTGTGTTCTTGCATGCTTCACAGCCTTTCCCGCAGTGGGAGTCACTGAGGTTGAGGCACGGCTCCTTGTGCATCCTGAGAACAGGTAACAGTGAGTGCTTTTAGATCACTTTCACTGCATTTGTCACATGCTTTAGAGCATTTAAGCGTTTTTTGAACAGACTTAAGCAATTATACGCTCGTAATTTAAAAGTAATGTCAGTGTTTTAAATGGAGGAGTCTGGTGTCCAACGCTGTGGGATCGAAGCAAGGCCTAGCACAGTGCACACCCTACGGCGCCTGTGTGAGGCGGCGGCAGCAGAGATGCTGCACGGCGGAGGGCACAGTTAAACACTGTCGTGGTACTCTCCGCTTCGGCGAAGCTAACTGAGGGGTTGGGGTACACCGGGTTAACTGTAAACCCCGCTAGGCCAGGGTGCGGGACGCGGCTGAGGTGACAGGGCCCGGCTGCCGCCCCCGGCCTCCTCCTTACTTGTACTCCTGCTCCCTAGGCAGCAGGTCGCCGCTCAGCACGCCGGTCTCCGTGGCGGCGGGCGGCATGGGGCCGCCGGGCGGTCTCCGCACCTGCAGCGAGGACGCGTTAATGTGCGGAGCGGCCACGGCGCGGCCACGCTTCCCAGCTCGTCTGCCGGTGCCCGCCCCACCGCCTTACCCTGGGCAGGCCCCCGCCCCGCCGGACCCCGCCGCCCGCCGCCATTTTGTTAGCGCGGATGCTGCCATGTGGCGTCTCCTTCGCCAGGGCAACCGGGAGCGGCCGGGGAGGGCGGGTGGCTCCCTCGGTCCCTCCTCCGGCCCTGCTCGTGGCCAGGCCTCCTCCGGCGATGTTGGGTTCGGGGCAGGGACGGGGCAGGCACGTTTCGTCCCTTGCTGGCAGGCGGTGGGAAGCTGAAACGCTGCGCACCCCCCTTCCTCGCATTGCTTGGTGCCAGGGTAACCCCACGGCAGGAGCCCTGTGACAGCCATTGCAGGCCGGGGCACGGGCCCCTGAGTAGAGCCCCGGGGTCAGCTGGCTCCTGGCATGGCGCTGGGCTGCCGTGGGTTCAGGTGAGGGGAAGTGGTGAGGTCTGAGGGGGCATTACACTTACTGTTGTAATAAACATGTATTACAACTCTTCAGTTAGAGCCTTTTGGCCTGGCTACACATTGTCCCACCAACGTCCCTTCAGCGCATGAAACTTTTGCGTTTGCAGCATTATGACAACGGTTCTGCCCTATTTACTACTCGTTAATCCTGTGGTCTCTCTCTGTTTCCTGTTGCCAGTTTGATTGTTGTCTGTTTTTTGCCTTTTCCTCTGGCATGCTTTTGAATGGCTCCATTACTTTTGTCCCTCACCCCTGCACTGTTTGATTTTGCTGTGTTTCTCCTTCATCTGTCGCTTTCCTGCTTACCTCATTCACTCCAGTTTCCATTCCCAAGTTTCTAACAGATGCTGCCCCTCCATGCAACAGCAGCCCTGCCATCCCGTGCCTGTATAGGTACCTAGGTATCTAAGATAGCAAGAATAGTACGGTTCTATACCCTGAGTTCCACGAACTGTGTATGATTTTAATGAAGAGATTTGCACAGGAGAAATCAGAACGGCTTAGCTGTCTAGAAGTAGAAGGTTTGTGCGTAGTTGAAGGATTTCTGCAGAAGCATTAGTTGGAAAACAGAAGAAATGCTTGGAGGAGATTAACTTTGAGCACTGAGACATGCAGTATGGGATAAGTGGAGGTGAAATGAAAGCACAAATGTGATTAGTGGAAGGCAAAAAATAGAAATATCAATATAGAAAATGAAAATGCTTAACAGTAACATTGATACAAAGGTATGGACATAAAGGAGGAAAAGAACGAGCCTATGAAAAAAGTGATGGAGATCTTGAAAAAATTGTCAAGCAAGAAGTCGGTCCATTATAATTGTTTTTTAGTTTGTTTTTTTTTTACTAACAAGAGCAGCAAGAGGTTAATGGTGGCCTTTCAGAAAGAAGATATGCAGAATTTAACTCCATCATTTATGCTTTTGATTTGAAGAAACAAGAAAGGGCAAGGTTAATAGTAGAAACCAAACCTCCAAAGGGAGACAGATTTTGTTAAGAAATAAGTTGCAGATTCCTTGAGAAATTAAAACATCGTAACCAAAGCAAGGTTTTAGAAGCCTCTCCAGTGAGGTTTAGTGAGGTTCTGGAGAATTTTAAGAGAAACAGAGGAGCCAAGGAAGGGAAACAAGGTTGGCAGCATGAAAGCTCTAAGGAGAAACATACTCTTTCTACACAGCAAATGGGATTTCTCAAAAGAAAAGTACTATATCTTTTCGTAGAACTAAAATATCATCTTGGTAACATTCAATATTTAATGTTCTTGCCCAATATAGCTATAAGATCATATCACCTTAAAAATGCCAAAAGTATTAGCTGAGGATCTCTGCTAGTTAGATACTGAGGCAACAAAATCACTGGTTGAGATTAGAGAGATTAGAGCCATGGTTTTCAAGCCAGCTTCTATATAAGTCTTAATGAACAAGAAAGGGGTTATTTATTATATCATAAATTGTCAAATATGTTAACAACCACAGCAACACAATGGGATTGTTTAGAGCCCTCTGGGAATAATAACATTTATTTATTAGAATTGCAGATTTGAACAATTTTTCTAAGTTTCACAAGGTGATTGATTTAATGGGATTTATTTTATTGAAATATCAACTGGATTTAGAATTAAACTACCTATATTTGAAATAATATGAAAAGACTAGAATGTTTAGATAAGTATTTTGTAGTGAACTTTAAAGTATTTCTCCAGAGATGTGGAAAACCAATAAGAGATTTTGGTACATTCTTGATCCCTTACTCCATTAAGGTTTTATCACTTCAAAGTTGACCTGATGTGACCTTAACAGTTGTGGTTAATTCTCTAATACATAGTTGGTAACTGGGTAGAGAATAGGCTTATATTGGAGATGACAACCAATAGCAAGATACATAGGGACTTCAGAAAATGTCTCTCAGTATTTATCTGGAGAAAGAAAAAAAGGCATTTGAAAGCATAACATTGGTATGGTATAAGATTTAGCCAACATTATTTGTCAGCAGATTCCCATTTTCCATTTAAATAATTTTTTAAAACTTGACCTAAACATGGTGACTGTAAAACCAAAATGTTTTTGTCATTTTGATATAAAGCGTAGATCAGATTGGATGCAGATTTCAAGCAGATTGACGTTTGTGATCGTAATGAGCTGTACTTGGGGCCTGTTGCTTGGGACCTGCACAATTAGAATAGTACATCACCATTCTGTATTTTCCAAGTGTTACAATTTTCTTTTGGGTTTGTTGTGGATGTTTTTTGGTGGTCGAGTTTGGTTTTTTGTTTGTTTGGCTTTTTTAGAGTTATAATATCTCAGAATTAAATGGCTCTGACAGAAATGTTAGATTTGAAATTAAATGGTTCCCTGCATTGCTGTTGTTGCTCTTCCAGTGGAGTAGATCACAGAAGCTGGTCAGAGTGATTCAGGACAGAAAGGTGTGCACAGTTGGTATGATGTTAGAACAGTTTATTGCAAAAGACTGCCGAGGATCAATATTCAGTGTTTACTTTGGATCAGACCAAAGAACATGTGTTATTTGTGGCCCTCTTTTTGCAGCCACAAGTTTTGTGATCTCACTTTCCTCCCCCAGTAAGAACACAAAAGCACAATATTTTTATATTAAGTTACCCTCTTTATACTTTTAAACACGTTTTTTTTGTTCACAGTATCATCTTACTGGGCTAAAGATTCATTACACAGGATTTTCCATGCTACTGATAAAAGTTGTGATATTTGCTACAAACCTAGAACAGTACCAACAGCCAACATTATAGGAAGTGACAGGATCCCACTGTATATCCCATTATGTGTCAGAAACAGAGAAAAAAATGTGGTTTGGGACAACATTTTCTTCCATGAAAATCACTGCAAATGTATTAGGCCAAACAGACAACAGCTGAGACCCTTGCTCAACTCTTCATGTGTGGGGTTTTTTGCTTTTAGTAAGACACATTGTAAACAAATAAATAGCATCATATATATCCCTCCACAAATGCTCACCATTTAGTAAAGAATCACTATAAAGGCTATGTATTCGCTTTGGTGTGTAGTAGAGCTAAATTTGATTTTATATATATATATATATATAATATGAGAGCCTTTAGCAAAATATTACCTCTGCTGATTCCACCTCTAGATGAAAAAGTCTTTTATAGGACTTGCTGCTGCCTGCTGTACCTCTGTCGTAGGAAGGAGGGATGCTTCACTGAGGCAGTGTAACTCAAAGTGTGTCATTCTTACATGTAAGCTAGTTTATTTGACCAGGACAGTCTGTACTGCTTAGATTACCCTTCTCCAGGTTAAGCAGCCATGGAGGGACTGTTTAACACACCACATTTACACTTTCACATCTGAACTCTGATACTTTTTTCTGTCAACACCCCTGTTTAGTCAGGAGAATCCAAAGCAATCCAAGGAAGGAGGGCTCCCTCCATTGTAGCTGTGTATGCCTCACAGTGCTGCCATATCTCGTGGTCCATGTGACATAAGCTGCCGTTCACACCATGCCTCTTATCACTGTGCTTCACAAGCAGGGTATGCACAGGGAGCCCCACACAGAACAAAAACTACAGCCTGTGCAGGCTGAACCCAGTCATCAAGAAGTAAACCAGAGACAGGCTGACTGCAGCGCTCACAGATGAAGGCAAAGAATGTAAAGCTAGCAGGCAGTTTGTTTGTTTGTTTACTTATTTATTCTAAATGTAGCAGAAAGGATGCCTAACATATGCAAAACATATCACTGTTACCTAAGCAACTGTAACAATTACCGTCCTTTCACACTTGAATAGTGTCCCTGCCTTAAATTTTTGCTTCATTTTCCTAGTGACAATTTCCTAGGAGGGAGAAGGGGAAGAGCAGAACTTTGGAATGAATTGTAGGTGAAATTTAATACTTAGCAGCTTTCTGAAAGCTTGGAATTTTTTAGCTCTAAATACTCATTTTAGGTTTTACTTCAAAAGATACAATTGCTATTTCATATTCCTATTATGTGGAGTGGAAGTAACATCTAATCTTGAATTCACCTACAATCAGACTAAAATACATATTTTTTGTGCAATAATAGGGAAGAAAAAAGTACAGCATTTTCAAACAGTAGTGGAGTGGTTGGATCTAGACAATGTGTAGCTATTAAATCAATAATCCAGACATTGAGGGAATTGCCCAGACAGCTGTTGGATTTTTTTCCCTAATCAGTAATAATAATCCAATGGTGTTTGAAATGGCATGATTGTATATTGGAACCTATTTTTGTGCTGGTATTTTCTCATGCATCTCTAATGGCTCCCTAAAAGACCAAGTATTATTAATAGCCATGTATTTCTTACGAAAAAAGCTGCTAGCTTTTTGGATATATGAAGTCTGAAAAAACCCTTTGGACCTTACTGACAAACACCCGCAGCTGATTTACTGTCAGTATAGCCTGGTAGCTTTTGTTTTCTAGCAGAATGACCCTGACGGATGTTAGTTGCCTGTGTCAAGTTTTGCGTGACAGAATTTGGGGAGGGGCATGGGAACCAAGCGTAAAGGTTTTGAGGGGCTCTGCAGCTTGGGGGAGGGCAAGCCGACCTAATAAGTCTCTTCCATCTCCAGTTTAGCTTTCATATGGATTCAAGTGCAATGGAAATGTTTATTCTGTTTCTTATAGC